CCCCCAAGATGTTAGAGGATTCCCCCAAGATGTTAGAGGATCCCCCCAAGATGTTAGAGGATTCCCCCAAGATGTTAGAGGATCCCCCCAAGATGTTAGAGGTGCAAGAATCGTGGACTACTTGTCAAGGAAAGTTCCTAACGGGGAATAGAATCAGCCCGAGAGAAAGAAGTGTGTTGCAGTCAATAAAGCAAAAGGGAGCTGGAGATCTGAAGAGTGCTTTGACCTCAGACATGGAGAAGAGCAGTTGGAGTTTCCCCAGTTGGTTTTTGGTCTTGCTTTTGTCCAGGATTTCCTCACTATGCCATTTTGGAATGGTACTGTACATCATGACGTTGGACATGTGTGACTTGCTTTTTGATTTTATAGAGGATCACAGTTAAGAGATCGCATGACTCTCAGAAGAGACTTTGCACTTTGGAGTCGTTGAGAGATTGTTGAGACTGTTATAGACTATGGGACTTTTGGTGTTGGGCTAAAGCCTTTTGCGTTATTCTGTGGCTAGGTGTGGCCCCCATAGACTCATGTGTTTGAACAAGCCTATGGGGGACAGGGAGTTGAATGTGGTGGTTTGAATATGCTTGACCCAGGAAGTGGCACTATTAGGAAGTATGGCCTTGTTGGAGGAATTGTGTCACTGTAGTGATGGGCTTTGAAACCCTTCTCCTAGCTGCCTGGGAGACAGTTTTCTCTTAGCTGCCTTCGAAACAAGATCTACAACTCTCAGCTCCTCCAGAGCCATGCCTGCCTGGATGCTGCCATGCTTCCCGCCATAATGATAATGGACTGAACCTCTGACCATGTAAGTCAGCTCCAATTAAATGTTGTCCGTTATAAGAGTTGTTGTCATGGTGTCTCGTCACAGGAATAAAACCCTAACCAAGATGCCTCGCAAGCTCTGGGACCACAGGCATAAACTACCACACAGACCATCTCAATGTTACAGATAACTGAGGTTAACCAAAAGTCTCTCCCCCAAAGCAGCCAGCCAGGGAGGCGCAGCTGGCACTTGGTAATCCTTCCTGGATCCCGGCTCACCTGCTGTCTGGCACCCACCTTCTGGAAGTCCTTCTTGGAGATGAGGCCACGGGGATCTGTGACATAGTCCTGGAAGGCCTCGGAGCCTACGATGTCCTTGAGTTTCAGAAACATGTCGAAGAACTTGAGGATCATCTCCACGTTGGACGAAGACTCTACGAGCATGTCCACCATTTGCCGCGCGATCATGCCGTTCACCACATTTCCTGCAGGAGACCTGGGTCAGTGCCACCCAGCAGAGCAGCTGCTCTGGACCCTCTGGGTTTGCTCTCTCTCTAGCTCAGAAGCCACCCATGGCTCGCTAGGACCCACCTACTAGGTGGGCACTTCCTGGTCCCTGTCATGCCTCCAGGAAGAGGATCATCTTGTGATCTGTGGTGGTGCCATGGCCACCTAAGGTCCACCCCTCTCACTGGGTGGGAAGATTACCACTGAGGACAGTGGAGGCAGGAGTCAGCAGTGAGGGCCACATGCCTGGAGGCTGTGTCAAGAATGCCTCAAGAAGGGCTGGAGAGATGGCTCAGCAGTTAAGAGCACTGACTGCTCTTCCAGAGGTCCTGAGTTCAATTCCCAGCATCTACATGATGGCTCACAACCATCTGTAATGGATCTGATGCCCTCTTCTGATATGTATGAAGAGAGCGACAGTGTATTCATATACATAAAAATAAAAAAATAAAAAATAAAAGAATGCGGCCAGGCGGTGGTGGCGCACGCCTTTAATCC